CCCGTGCGGGAAGGCCCTTCTGACAGCCAGAAATGTCGCGCACCCAAGAAAGTGGAAAAATCAGAAGGCCACTCACCAAGGCGTCGCCAGAACATGGAAAGGTACGTGGCTACGGGCGTCGCCGCACGAGTCACCAAACGAAATACGAAACGAGTGCATTGTCCTCCAGAAAATGGCCAGGTTCATCGGTTTGCTATCAATAGTAACAAGTGTACTTTGCCACCTTTCGTGGGCAGATGCCCTCATTTTGTTCTCGTTTCGTGTGCCGTGCGGCGAGACCCTACTTCACTTTTACCTTTTTTGCATAGGCTCTGAGGCCCCCAGCCGAGGTCCAGAATTGAGCCTACTCAGCTTGGACCCGCCCCCCTTGTGCAAGTAAAGTTCGTTTAGTTCACTCAAACATAACGAATATGCGTTGTAAACGAATACAACGCACGGTATATGTTGTATTGCGTTGTATTCGTTTACAACGCATATGCATTATGTTCGGGGAAAGACGGTAGTTGCACCCCTCGCCATCTGCCAAAATTCTCATTTGAATGGATTTTGGACATCCAAGTTATCCAGATGCATTTAAAATCTCAGCGGATGGCGAATGGTGCAACTGATATCAGGCTGGGTGTGGGGGCGCAACCAAGACGGCGGAGGTATCGTGGTATCAGTGCAAAATGAGAATGAATCTCAACTATCATGTGAAAAGAAACATTGCCATAGTCGAAGCAGGTCCGATACAACAGACTTTTTGTTTTTGGGCAAAATAAGTCATAGACGGCCTTGAGATATCATCGTTTGAAGTGACCGGCCTAAGGTGATCACACAACCCATGCGTCTGGCCTCAATTTCATCCAGAGATAAGAAAGTTAAATAAAAAAATAAAAACACGAGAATTTCCTAAACCCACTACCCACTCCTCACCCAACGACAGTGCCATGCAACCCTTTCTCATGACCATCGTCCCACCACCCGCACCAACGACTGGTCGGTGTCCAGTCTAGGACGGCAACCCTATAGTAATCGACACAAATACGCCCTCTAAACCCATATAGATTGACGACCACATTCCCCGTATGGAAACCCGTGTTAAACGAGAAAAGGCATTTATATCTATGCAACCTCCTAGCTATAAACTACGCTAGGCCCCCAAAAGACCCCAAGAAGAGTGGTTTACCGCAAGGCCCGCGAGAACGAAGCTCGCAAGAGTGTCGTCGATGTGAGGTCCAAACAACAGGGGTAATGTATAAGGCGGGGTTCCCCAAGGGTAGCCCAGAGTAAGGCCTAAGGGAAGCCCAAGGCAAGACTCAGGCCCAACCCAGGATAAGGCCCAAAGGAAGCTGGAAGTCATGATGGATGTGTTGAGAGATAGACTCGTGCAAAGCTTGACTTCTTGCAACTGGGCCTCGGGCAGATTGGAGAATAGGTTGGCAGTCGTCCATTAAACCTTGCAATATTTTTGCAGGTTGTAATATGTTCAACCACCAATACTTCCAAACGGGTATGTCCGCTCCCATCCAGATTCATTCAGAAGGAAACGTTGCATCTCTATTTTTCTACGCGACCGATGTCAGACATTCGTCAATTCAAAAGCTTAAAAACTCAAAATTATCTCAGTCTTGAGACAAAGTTGCAGAAGGTTGTGCAACAAAAACGTGTGACTCCTAAGATGTATAGATGTGTTTGTTTACAAAGAGAACAAACACATCGATACGAAAACAATTATTCAGTAGTGGGTGTAAGGCCACAACTATATGAGAACAACTGCTCAATAGACGTGTCAAATTACAGAGTGAATCATTGAGAGTGATAATATGAAGGATGTTATTTGCTCAGACCTCGGTTAACAATATATGTGAGACATAAATGGACGTTGACTCATGCTTATGGCATGTGGTGGATTGATAGCATGGGATAAGGATAATCAAGTATGAGGATGCAGATTTTGAACCGCCACAAACTCCAATCTGGTATAAAATATATTGATGGTTTAAGATTGACGTCCACGATGGTCTGTGGCTAAACAAAAAATGACCAAAATCTCCAACATATTTTTTTTAAAGAATAAGATAATCATTTTATAATAATATAAATTATAAAATTAAAATTTTTATTCTATCTTAAAAATATTATTCCTATTTTTTTATTTTTGTTTTATTTAAAATTTTGTCTTCAAAAAATGAGGTATCAGTTATTGTTTGAACTGCGTGCTATACATGAAATGAAAGTCTCGATGAGTTTATGAATTTTTTAAATTGAACTATCATTTTATTATAAGGAATTTCAATCACACATATGTTAATTAAATCTTAAGTAGAAGATATTTGTTATAGTAGCATGACAATTTAATTAAGATATTTCACAAACTCGTTTAAAATTTTATTCCATCTTCAATAAATATATGTAGCTGGAAAAAAAAACTCATTTTAAGATGAAAAATTATAAAATAAGATTTGAAATTTTAAAATTATATTTATATATATATATATAATGATAATTTTAAAATATGCATGATTTTTTTTTTAATTGAATATTTTTTTAACTATCCGTCCTTGTGGGATTTTTTTTTCCCCTTTTGGGTTGGACAGATGCTAGTTAATTGAGGTCATCAAATGTGGATGCACTCATAGTTCGAAATCGTCATGACGTAGTCCCATGCAGATAGTAGTTGCTTTGTAATTTCGCACTCATAATGTCAGATCTTTATCTCTTATATATAATAAAAAAAACATGCATATACTTTCAAACTTTTAATGATAAGCAAAAACAATAGATTGCCTCGTACTGAATTGTCTCTCTTCCTAGACTTATGCCTGCAGAATGGCAGGGAAAAGCACCAGCAATACTTATTATTGCTCTTGCAATCACCAACGTCAATTGCGATGAGCGACATGTGCAAAGAGCAACAAACAAATAATGATAATACTTGTTGATTTAACTGCAATAACGAGTTTTGCCTGTTTTTTTTTTCGTTTGCCGCTCACCAGCGTCCTTGAAGAGATTGAGAAGCTTCGGGTAATTTGATCCAACTACCACTATAGTCCTATGTAGGTATCTTTATAAAAAATGGATCGCCGCCTCGCCGTCGGCCCCCATTCATGCTCATTATAAAGCAGTCTGAATAAGTTTTTTATTTGCAGTGCTCTCACTTCATCGAGTTTGTTTTCAGTATACTTGCATTATGCAAATACATCAGTCGTGACTGATGGAGGCAAGGGTATGGGCAAGCTAGAAGGAAAGACGATAGTTCATAGTAACGTGATAATTGTAAATACTCAACTCATGATAAACATATTCGTTTATTGCCAAGTGTAAGAGTCTGTCATGACATACTCACAATAATAGCATGCGTCTTCTAAGTTTATGTAAAAGTCATCATGCCATATTCGGTTTGAAAAAAATTGTTAAGCGCATGCACTAAGTAAAAAATAACTAATGAAGTGAATATTTAACGTTTGTCCAGATGGCAAGATGTTTTCTTTTATAGTCACCACCGTTGTATACATGAGTAGTGATGTCAATAACTGTTATTGTTGAATATCATATTGTGAGTTAGCATATGGAACAAGATTCCCTGTGACGACTCTTTATCATGTGGTCAAACGAATAGTTGTTCGTTTTTTAAGGTAACTGTAGTTCTGTTAAAATCAAATTTTAATTTTTCATCGAAATAAGATTATGATTTTGCATTGTATAGTCGTGGGCAACATTTCCAATGCAATCTAGTTTTCCGTGGAGTCGGTCAAAAGTCATGTCGCGCATAGTTGGGGCATTTAGGTCATGGATCAGGCGCGAGAGGTCAAGGCAGGTCTTCATCTAGCCCAATTCATGACTAGGTTCGACCAATACTACCAGTTGGCCCTGAACGATGTGACTGCTTACGGTACTTAAAAAAATATATGTGACAAAATTGCATTTTAAACTTTGTTATCGACCATAAAAAAAATTCAACTGTAAATAATATTGCGATGCATGATATGATCACTATTTAAAAATATATATATATATTATAATATGTCTAGCAAGTTTTATGATCTGAGTTTTTTCGCTCCTTCCTCATGTCTGCATTTTTCATCTCCTCCTCCTCTAACTATCATCCCCGTATAATTGTCACTACACATAATGAATTTTATTTTTTTTTACTTCCTCGGTTTTTTATACTTTGACGTAGTTTTTATTTTCTTTCTTATTTGTGAAATAAAGTTTAAAAAAAAAAACACGTAAATATTAGAGTGTAAGTCATAGGAAGAAGGATGCGAAACAATCTTAGTCTATCATCTTCTTTAAAAGACAACTATTTTCTCTACCTACCTGCCCTCAACATATAACACACCTGTGTACATGTTGTCATATTACATACTTATTTTTTGTTACTACTTCACGTCATTCTCCTCCTCCTAAAGTTATACCATTATTTGACTGAGTTCCTTCAACACGGTCATCTTA